GTCTAGTTCTTCAAACAAAACTGCCCGGGCAAGCATTGCTGTTTGGGTCTGGGGGTTTAGCGTCTCCTTTCAAGCAGACTGATTCCTTGGCTCTTCTGGCGTTTTCGTTGCCATCAGCCAGGCCGTCTGCTCGGTTTTGACTGCGTGTTATCCGACGGAAGGGGAGTGTACTCACTTTTCAGTCGAACCAGACACTAAAACGCAACAACGTATAGGGTTTAGGGTTAGGGGTTTAGGGTCCATGTGTAGTGTTACCACATGCCACGCCGGTTTTACAAACCCCTGTTCTCCCTGAAGCCCCATCTCAGAACTACTCCAAATATTGTCATGTATCTGTAATGCTATTGTGTTATTTCATTGTTCTTATATTCAGTTTTTATTTGTGGGTTTCCTACTACTCTAAACAATAGGATCTTTATATATCCTTATTATAAGGCCCCAAAATACGGTACCCCTAATTTTGCGGAAACTCCTAGGGTTATCATCCTTCAACTTGGCCCTGGACGAGGGCTACAACAGTGACGGCCGCACGCCACTCCTGGTCGCAGCAAGCCTCGGCCACAGGGGCGTCGTGCAGCTGCTGCTGCTCGCTGGTGCAGAGAAGGACCGAGGGTCGGAATTGCAAAAAGTTCGTGTATAGCAGAACTACATCGGGGCGATGAGGGAGTTTTTCCCTACGATTCAGGCCCGGTAGAAGGTGCTCCCCTGCGTGATTCCTTCTGCAAGTATCTTGTGCATGCACCTTTTTGGCCAGGCAGTGCATCGATATCTAAACAGAGGTATTCCGGGCCGGGGACAGAGAGACTCATGTGTAGCTCTTGAGACTCGCGGTCTTCTCCTCGGAACCCAAGCTGCTTTGCAACAACGGCGTGTGCGACTGGGTTGTAGGGTGACACCTTGCTACAAGTCAATTAGCCGAAACACGCTAAACAGCATAACTTGGAAGCTCCGAGATGTGCAGTCGAGTTAGTTTTTGTTTGGTTTCCTGAAGTGTCATGAAGTTTATTCAGTCGCGTTTGACAGAACGTCTATAAGCGGCTACATCGGCTACATGGTGTCTTCGTTTCCATATATATTTAGCTGGTTTCACGGGGTACTATGGGAGCTCCCACAGGTTGGAATTTTCACTTCTGAATGATACCTACACCTTCCTTAACCTACCAAAACCTACTTTTTTGTAGGGTCCCTATAAATTCCAGATTAGGGTTTGTAATAGGAACCTACAAAAAAGTAGGGTTTGGTAGTTTAAGGTATGTACGTATCATAACATGCACGCTCCCCAACACAAGCAAACGCTTCTAGAAACTTGGGATCCTATTCGATCCCAAAGGGTCCTTCGTACCTTTCTAGAAGAAGGCAAGCTTTCTATATTAGGACTGTCATTATGATTCAGGGAAAACCCTCCCCCCCCAATAATAGTACATACGACCCTTTGAAAGTGCAGGCTGGGGAACATCTCGGTTTCTGTCGATGATTCCCCCGAAGGCCCCCCTTCTTCTCCCGACGCCCCTGAGTCTAAGCCGTTCGGGGATTCTTGAGGGATGTCGGTTTAGGGTTTTGGGGATTAGGCCAGGGATGCTTCTCCAGGATACCGTGTTCCCATGCATATCTACAAAGAAACTGACCAGAAGACCCATGGAACCCAAGCCTGGACAGCCAAATCCCTAAGTTCGTGCATGACATGTTGAGATTTTCACTTTCATGCTGCGGGTGCTGAGTTTCGATTTAGAGGCAAGTTTGAGGTTTCGGTCTCCAGTTTGCGGCTTTGGGTTCGCAGTGTCGGAGAGGATCGGTGCACAAACACGGGCGCGACCGCTCTGCTGCTTGCATGCCAGGCGCGTGACTGAAAGGGTGGGCCCCTTGCAGGCTTTAAGCTGCCGGATTCAGGGCGTTATTAGGGTTTAGGGTTCAGCATTTATGTAGGGGTTTCGGTTTAGGGTTTAGGGGCTTCAGGGTTAAGGGTTTAGGGGCTTCAGGCTTTAGGGTTAAGGGTTTCGAAGTGTATGGTTATAACTCGGTTCAGAGTGTGATGTCATCTCAACTGGGCCCTTTAAGTTGATCAGCAGCACTGAAGAGCAAGTTGTCGTACGCCCAAGATCCAGGCAGGACAAGTGGAGGTGGTCCAGCTGCTACTGGAAGCGGGCGCGGACAGGAACAAAGCTACAGACCATGGTATCACCCCATTCCTTGCTCCTTGCCGGCTGGGCTAAGCCCTGTAGATGCTTGTAGGAATGCTTGTGATGCATGTGATGCTGTATAGTCTCGGTTCCCTTTTACAGGCTCATCAAAGGTTCTGTAAAAGGTCCTGTTTCCTTTAAAGGCTTCTAGGTTCTCCTGGGGCAAGGGCTCAGTCTTGCTGTTGGAGCTTTTGTTGCCGTGCTGAGGCTGCGTGTCGGAGTACTCACTTGGAAGTGGCACGCCTTTTGGGCCCGATGCACGGCGACAACGACGTGGTGACAGAAGAAGGTGTGGGTTGAGATCCGGACGGATGGGATCCGTGGACCTTGCGTAGCATGGGACCGAAAAACTGAAGATATGTGATCGCGCTTGCGCTTGCGAAGTCTTTGACACCAGGTGGCCATGGATGAGAGCCCATTTCTGCACGAGCATGTCCTAACTTCCAAGCAATGGAGAGGAGACCTGATCGATGAGGCTGCGATGAGGTCGCAGAAATAAACCCTAAACCCTAAACCCTAAACCCTAAACCCTAAACCCTAAACCAAGTTCATGTTCATCAGCTCCGAGCTGTGCAGTTTGAGCGAGGGGTCTGCAATGTTCCGGCCAGGCCTCGGCTGCAAGTTTCTGCAGTTAATCACTGAGACTCTGTGTCTTCAATCAGCAAAGTTATACGGTCTGAAATCTGCAATATTCTGCAGCTTATGCCGCGCTTGCATCAGATATTGTACCCTTCCAACTAGCTTCGTGCCGATGTGCCTGTCGTCATAGCAGTGGCGACTCAGGGTGGCGACCCGCAAATCTTCACAGGGTCGATCAGGGTCGTCACTGAAAGGCAGGTCGTAGACGGTGCCGCGTTCTACGTATGCGTCTGGATCAGAACTGCACCAGCTCAGTATCTTGGTGGTAGTCGCCTGTTACGAGGGCAACACTCACGGCAAGGAGCCGAAGCTGCTGGGAAAGGTGGACGACGTCTTAATGCGCCATCCTCCATGCTAGGTATCGAGGAAGACATCGGAGTGAGATGAGAATGTGATGAGTACTTCAATGGGCCGCCCCTGGTGCTTCGAACAGAGGGTCATGCAGCTGAGTCAACCGTGCCAGCATGCCTAAAGCTGCAAAAAGATATTGCAGAGTTCTCTTGATCTGTGCTTTTGAGCTGCATGCCGCCGGACATCACCATGCGGATCCTTTCTTTTGGCCCGTTGTGCCCATGGGCTTTAGAGTACTCATCAACTGAGGCTGGTTCTTCTGGTGGGCGCGCGATTGAGAAACCTTCTGTCCTTATTAGGCTTCCTCATACGGATCCTAACCTTTTTTGAGGTTATAAGATCTCTTAATCAGGTTATTTAGAGCCCGAAGAGGAGCATCGCCGCTTGTGGTAGGTCATGGTCTTGTCATCAGTCCTGCGTACCCTAAACCCATTGAACACCTAAACTCCTAAACTACTCGACCCCTGAACCCCTAAGCACTTAAAGTTAACAACTCAACCTCTCAACCCCTCAACCCCTAAACCCTAAGCCCTGAACAGTACCTCCCAGGTACGACCGAGTTTCGGCAGATCTGCTCCACTCCTTCAAAGCTTCCCGGCCTTATGAGGGGCTGCTCGAAGTGCGTTGGGCGTGGGGATTTCGATGTAGTGTGTTGCAGGGTTTAGGCCTTATAAGGGTGTGACAAGTGCTTCTTCGTTTTTTATTGTACATGGGGGTTGTAGGAGGTTTGTAAGGCTGGAGGGCTTCTGAGCACGACACCTTCCGATCTCGGTTGAAGGTTCTGGAGTTTAGTTTCAGTGCGGATGCTTCAACCCTAAACCCCAAGCCCCTAAACCCTAGACCGTACTTCGGAGCCTCGAATCGCCGCTTAGGCACTACTACGGGGGACCTGAGAACCCACAGAAGAGCACGGGCTTGAGACTCACAGTAGGAGCCATAAGCCACAATTATCAACCCTCCTCCCTACCGACCCTAGACGAGGAGGAACAAGCAGAAACTCAAAACAAGCACCAGAATTAACCATAAACTCCAAACCCAAGACCCCTCCCCCCCTGCTCCGTGAGGGGCTAGCAACCTTGTTTCGGTGACCCTGCCTTGGATCCGAAAGCCCTCAAGCTCGAAAGTTCGAGGGCTGTAAATCCTAAACCCTAAGAGCGTAAGGCCCTGAATTACCCGAATCCCGCATTTTCCTCACCCTACACCTCAAAGTGTAGAAAGCCCTAAACCCTAAACCCTAAACGGCCTAGAGCAGATCCAGAACAACCCACATGAACCCAAACACAACTCAGGAAGCCTAACACTTACAAAAGCCCAGAGCCAGAAACACTAAATCACCAAAAGCCACGTGAAAGCTGCAGACCCCTTCAAAAGCCGGCTAGCACACTAAATCCCAAAAGCCATACTAAGCACATCATAGACCGTATGGTTTCGTTAAGCAAGCCAACAACCGGTGTTGAAGCACCCCAAAATCTTACAACTGCAATGACTCATGCAGGGATACCACACAACCATTTAGAACACCAGTTAAACTTACAAACAAAGGCGACCCAAAGAACTGTTTACCCAAAACCCAAAGCCCTAAATCCTAATAACTGTATACAAACCTATAGAACCATACACAAAAAAGCCCCAAAACAGCCTTAGAGAGCACCTCAAGGCTTAAATCCCGCAAACGAATAGCAAGCAATGATGGCAACAACCAGGGAAGCCAAGACTTCCACCGAAACCCTCACCCTAAACCTCAAAAACTCCAGACCTTCAGCCCTAAACCCCAAACTCTCAACCCTAAACCCTAAACCCTAAATCCTCACCCCTCAAACCTAAACCCTAAAC